AAACAAGGAAGTGAATAAGGAGCACCTCCACCAGGATTGGCAGACACGGTCAGTTTAGCCACTGCTTCGGACTGCCGCAGTCAACTGGAAAACCTTTATCATATTGATGTGCAATCCGCACCCCACCACCCCTCCACATTTCTACCCAACAGCACTCAGTCTGAAACCAGTCATTCCCTAACCTGGCCCAGAAAAGAAACCTGAGACCTCTCGGACCCAGAGCCAGCCTACGTCCTTTGCCCACTGATCCTGTAATAACAGGAAAGCTTTAAATCCCTGAAGTCCTCCCCACCCCAGCGCCAGGACAAGGACTCCCCCAGTGATGCTCTATTGGACAAGGAGAGTCGCAGGCATGGGGACCATCCCCAATCATGCTAAGCCCACCCTGTCCAATGACCTTCCCCATAGCACCTACATCCAGTTGGCATGTGTCCTAACTCTGAGAATCCTGCTGCCTCCCAGCCACAAGCCCCTGTGTAGCAGAGGCAACCTAGAAATGTCCCTAAGGAGCACTTTATTACCCCCCTGCTGTTGAGTTTCAGAAGCAGTCTGTGCCTGTGTCAACAGAGCCAGTTACCTTTACACCAAGAACTAACCTGAGGACCATGTGGGATGAGAGGTGGGACCACCCAAAAAGAGATTTTCCAGTCTGAGTGTACGTACACTCATGCCTGCCTGTGCACACGAGAGCACAAACACTCCAGGGGCCACAGTACACTTTTTGCTCAAAGAGGGCTCTGCTTTGTTCAAGGACGGGGTAGGAAGCAGGGGAGTGCAGAGGAGTAGTAATAAATAGTGAGGGGAATACCAAGGTTGCCCCTGGAAACTGGCAGGGATAAGAGAAAGTAATCAATGCAGGTCTGGTCCTCGGAGGAGACGGCCAGCAGGGAGGATGGGGACCAAGCCATGCCAGTTTCCTGGCTCAGAGTTCCATGCATCTTGTCAGGGCCAAATGCCAGTTGGCAAGAGGCGGCATGGAGGCTCAGGCGGGGGTAGGCAGCATGCAGGGGAGTCCAAGAGCCACTCACTCAGCCATTTCTCAGAAAATGAAGGTGTCCAGCAGCCCCCACACTCTCAGGACACCTCCCCTTCTGCCCCCCATCCAGCACACAGCCCAGGAGACTTGCCCAAGGCCTCACCTGGGTAAAGGAGCCATCTTCACCACACTCTGGGACAAACACAGCCTCCTGAGGCTTCTTGGCCTGCTCCAAGGCTTGAGCCCGCTCCAAGCGACACTTGCTCTGGCCAGCATCTAAAAGGCGAGAGGAGCATATTTCATATTTCACTTGGATTTCAGCCTGAAGCCATGGCACAAAATGGCTGCCCACTGGCAGGAACGCAGAGAAGCCCCTTCCACTAGGGGAGAAGCCCACGCCACCAACTTGTCTGACAGTACAAGGGCCAAGACTAGTGACAGCTGATCAGCCTTAGCTTCCTCTCAATGTTATTCTTAAAAATGAGTGG